CTTAATAATTTAAACGTTGAATATGAGATTATATTAAAAAGTGTGAGAGAAATAAGATATGAATGAATGATAATTAGACATAATCTCGTGAAATCTTGTGACCCCCATTTATACATAAAATAATTCAATAAACATTAAATATATTTTTTTTTCTTCTTAGAATGTAAATGTGTTATGATTCGCTTCGATCTCGAAAAGCTTCCCCTGAAACTGGCAACGTGATACGTAACCATTAAAATTCTTAAGTAAACATGGATAGATTCCGAAATATCGATTTTTAGTCAAAAGATATGGTAAGTTTCATTCGAGCAATCACCCATCTTAACTCTGCATTCACAGTTAGTGTAAATTCGCGGAGAAAAATAAAAATAATATATTTCGTACACTCCGCCATAATTAGCGCCAATTATGAATTCAGGGGTTAAGAAAAAGGAATAATTTAACTCGTTCATAAAGTAGGAGATAAATATCCTTCTGTTTAATTACCTTAAGATCATATGCTAATTGAATTAATAGTGTTATTTAAACGGCTCGATTTTTAAAAATGTCTACCCAATATTTTAGCCAAAAAAAATATTAAGCAAGTCAGGAGATTTTGCTAATAGAAGACAGAAAGGTATGGATATCTATTAATTAACAAAATCTCGAAGCTTGCGTTATATTGTTTGTGCTAGAATCTTAACTTGAGATTGGCTAAATCGAGTCGTTTAACAATATTAATTAATAATATAAACTAATATTAAACAAGCCACAAAAAAAAATATTAATTTATTAATATTATCTTTTTTAAAAAAATCAAATCTAAACAAAAATAAATTGGAATCATTTTTGAATCTGCCGCCCTCAAAAAAATAATAATCAACCGTGTGCCATCTATCCCTTAGGCGAATTTCGTAATTCTGATTTTTATAACTTGTCTTGTGCTTATATTCGATGTAATGGTAAAAGCTAAAGCCCTCAAGGTCAGGCCACCAGTTTGTAGAATACTGCCAAAAATAGGATCATTCCGAAGGGCAGGAAATTAATATTTACTAATTTAAAAATAAGAAAGTTGATATTGGCAAATAATTTACAATATTAAAAATTTAAACTGGAATTTTTTTTAAAAAAAAATTAAGTAATTTATATTAAAAAAAATTACAAGTAAAATATCACAAAATAAAATATAAATATAGGTTCTTTTGTTAATCATTAATATGCTATTTTTTAAAATATAGCTTTTTATTTAAATTTTGCGTTAAGTGTTCCAAAATAAATAGCTAATAAAACTAAATGTAACTCGATTCAAGGTATTCGTTAAAATTTTTCCGTTAGATATATAAATACGTTATAGTAAATCGCTAAATATATATTTGGTTCGTATATGTGAATTCGTTTTCCGAATATTTACTTATTCGTTTGGGAATTTATTCGAATATTTTAAAAAATATTCGTGAATTTGCGATTTTGTCAACAGCCAAGAAACTCTCGAGTTTGAAAATTGAATAGAAAAACGAAAGATCATCTTTCAGTTCAATAGACTATATACAACACGAAAAACATTTTCAAGTGGCAAATAAAGGTCAAATGAATAAATAATAATGTCATCCCATAAGCACAAGAGGGCATGGTACAAAAATATTTTATAAAAAGAGAAAGGGTGGGGGAATAAATTATTTTTATTGATTACCCGTCCACTTAAAGGACAAAAACTTATAAGTAAGCATGTGACTTACTTTTTAATATAATTTTTTCTTTTTCCTCTTTTGATTCACGAATAAGCGGAAAAGGTTAAAACCAGCGTTTTAAAAGGTTAAACCAGCTTTTTTGGTGAACCCAAAACTGAACTCTCTTTAATTATTTGCCATGATCCCGAACCTATAAAATATAAAAATGGGTTCTATTAAAATGTTTTGAATTAATTTATTTAAATTAAAAATTACTATTTTGTTTCAAAATCCTAAAGGATTTTAAAATTTTTCATATCAATCACCTACCTGTATTTCCTTCTATATTAGATTTTATTTCCTATAATCAGATATTTGAAAAATATTTTATTGGAAATGTTGAAAACTTATATTCTTCCAGAGCAAATCTATATCATCATCTCTGATAATGGCAGAAATATGGTTAAAACTATTCAATTATTAGACCAAGAATGCCAATAGATTTATGGTACGGATGAAGATTTACAATTTTCATGATGATGATGCTTTTCTTACCTCTTTAAAGACTGGATTTCACAATTTTCAAAGCCCTTCAATATTAGAGACCCCATATTTTGGGATTATTTTAGAATGAAAGACTCCATTTGAGTATTTATGGTATTCGATGTGCTCGTTGCTCATTCTATCCACTTTTTATAGAAGATGCATTTAAGGAAAGGTATCCTCTCATATTAAAGGCCAGCTTAATCAATAAAAACTAACAAGTTTTAAAGCTTATAAAATGTTACAATTTGTTAAAATCAATTCTGGAATGTCATAAATAGCATTCTACTTATGATATGCTAAAACGGCTTATTAAGCTAAAAGATTTTTATCAGGATTTACCAATTCGGAATAACTAATATTTAACAATTGATGAATGTAAGAAAGATACTGAAACCACTCAAAATAGCAATAAAGGTGGTTTTTCAGAGTGAACAATTAACGTTAAGTAGTATTTATGCCACATGGCAAAATGTCTCTTAGAGATTGAGACTATAGACACTATTCTTGCCAATGTATTAGCAATTAACATAAAAATATAGGAACGTGACTATTTTAGAAATACACTTTTCTGCCAAGTATTTGGATCTTAGATATCAAATTTTAGTATAAGAAGAAGAGACCCTTTGGCAAAATATTTAATAAATTTATGGACGACAATGAAAAATCGAGGATGTTGTTAATATTACAGATGATGTAATTAGTGTTGATGTTGACATGCTATCCCTAATGAACTAGAAAGGTTGTTATCATAGAAAGAATGTAAAAATTCAGGAAGATTACTGGTTAACAAAATGATGAAGGAAACATTAGAACTTTATTACCGTGTTTCTTAGGCTAGATAAATTATTCAAAATCTCCTATTTAATATTTTAGATCAAGATAGAATATTCCAAGACCAGGATATATAATTCAATATTGAAAGGAATGAAGAAAACCCAGCCTGAAATTGTTAAACTTTCTAGGTGTCTTAGCAGTTCCAGCCATATAGGTCAGCGTGTACAGAGCATTTTATTCATTAAAATTTATATTATCAATATATAGATCTAGAATGAACAATAATTTATTAGAAGTTATATTGATTATACGCTTGAAAAGGCTCTTTTAGATGAATTATAAATATAACTAATGTTATCATTTTATTTTGTTATATACTTATATATTATTTTTCAAAACTAATTTTTAACTTTAAAATTTTTTAACGACCCCACCTAAATCCACTCCAAACACGGTTTTAATAGGCCAGAACTAAACTCTTTTCAAAATATCAACTTGAACGAACCTGACAAATTTAAAAAAAAAGGTTACAATCCTTGATTAATGAAAAGTATTGTATAATATAAAATTTATTCTGCCTGGGACCAAAATCAAAATGAAGGAAAAAGTTTATTACGGAAGGGTTATAATTACGAGATACATATTTTATAAAATTAATTATTTAAATTTTTATCTGGAGGAGGTGATTTGTGAGTTCGGTTTAATATAAAGTCTGGCGCAACTAGGGTTAAATAAACTATTACAACTCGACGTATTCGGCGGGAGGGGAGGGTTCTTTAGACTATGATGAGTATAATTGTTTCTTTTTTTGTCGCAAAGTGGCCCGGGTTAAAAAAAATTGAATTTAAGTACTTGGTTCAGGTATAAAAATATATTTGTGTTTATTCGTGAAAATGTAATGAGACAAAGTATGAGACCAATTTTAGGCTTAATTCTCTTCTCTTTTTTTTCTTTTTTTCTCTTACTTCTTCCTTTCCTTTCCTTTTCTTTTTTTTCCTTCTTTTTTTCTAATTCAACCTCTTGGAAAGAAAATAATTAATAATGTTTTGAAAAAAACTTAAATATACTATAATCAGAGTTTGAGAGGGAATTATTGAAACCTTTGGAAAAAAAAATCTAGGAGCAAGAATCAAAACTCATTGATAGTGTTGTTAAATGGCTCGTTTTGAGCCGATTTTATAAACGGCTAACTTAATATTTCATCCAGAAAAAATATTATGCAAGCCTTAAATTTTGCTCATAGAAAGAACAAGGGTCTAGACATATATTTTCTAAAAATCGAGGCTTATGCAATATTTTTTTTAGCTAATATTGAGTTAGTTGTTTTTAAAAATCAGCTCTAAATGAGCCGCTTAACAACACTACTCATTGTAAATGAAACCAGTTCTGAGTGCCATTAATTTAAATGTATATTGTTGAAAATGTGGTGTGATTCATTTTAAGGGATTTATTTGGCTTTAAAATTTTTTTATATTGTATTTGAAACTAAAACCAGAAGCACATCTAAGAACTAGAATCTCATTTTAAATTGTTAGGTAATTGAACCACTACCTTTTAAAAAATATTCAAACCCTGATACTAATATGTGATTGGAATCTAGCCTATCCTATTGTATTTCATTATATTAATAATTAAGCTAATAACATAATCTCCATAAACATATGAATATATAAGGGTATAAAACTCATGTAATGTAAATTTTAAATAAATTTCTTAAAAAAATATTTCAATAAAGAGTTTTTTTTAACATGGCACCAAAAATATTTGGAAAATTTAATAATAATTGTCATCTAAAACTGTTATATGCCATAATTTTATCAATGAGTTTTATTTATAATATAAAATTGTCTTTTAATATATGTAAGGAAACTAATAAAATTTAATTAATTTTCACTGTATTTTATAAAATCAATGAAAGGGAAAAATATTTACAAATTTAAATCAATCATGATTTCATGTAATTAGGAACAAATTTTAATGAATTTTATGAAACATAGGAAACATTAAATATTGATTTAATAAAAAAATTATAACCTGTTGGCTGGATCAACAGACAATGGATAAAGTGATGGAATAAATTTGTTACATTCTCTATGTTTAAATGTTGTTTCCACCCAATTACAGCGATTCTAAATATGTACATTTATATAAGTATTACATTATACATAATATTTTTATAAAATTAAAATAATCTAAAGACTCATTATAAATATATATTAATTTTTTGATCAATATAAAAAATTTAAAATAAAATGTCTAAATCAATAATATAATTAGTGCTGCAGAATAGGGCTCAAGATTTTTGAAAACTTTAAAGAACTGTTTTTTTTAATATAATACCCATCAAGTTGAAAAAGTATCTAGATGTAAATCTAATTGTAATTTAAAATTAAACTATGTATAAATAATCTATCATATTATGGCAAAAAGTCAATTGTAATTTTAAATTCAACTATGCTAAATTATATACATCATATTAATACCAAAATAGTAAAATCTAAAATTATATATAAAAGTACGTTGTTATTAGAGGTAGATCGTTTCCTACACAAGGATATTTTGGGATTATACTTGTTGGAACTCATAAAAATGCATTTTAAATTAAAATCAGCTGTTTAAATGATTCATCCCTATAAAGTCTTAGATAGAATTGAATTTTATTTAGTTTATAATATTTTTATTATAATGTTGTGTAAATCTTTTCAGGAAAAAGTTATAAAAATTTTAATTAAATCTAATACCTTCAAAGGAGAAGGGAGGGCGGTCTATATTTGTAGTAATTAATAAAACAGATTAATAAATTTCTTCGAAGTTATATTGTTGTGATATCGAGATAAATTTTTCTTCTTATATTATGTATAATTCGCATATAGAATTTATTTTGATTAAAGTATTTTTTAATACATTTTTATTTATTTGAAAATTTTTATGTTAATGAGAAAAAAACGAAGCGTATGTTAATTTTAAAGGAAAGTTTAAAATATTCCTATGATTTCATATTTTATGTTTGTACTCGCCACTTTTTCATTTTGTAAAATAATTATTATTTTTGGAAAATTTTTTTTTATTCAATCTTTTTTCTTGTCCAAAACGTTTATAAACTTGCCTTTTACAGCCATCATTTATCTAAACCCTTTAAAGGATGTTTGCAATAATGCAAATAAAATGAGACTTTTTATTTTTATATCATATCTTCAAACCATAAAAAATTAAAATTTAGTCATAATATTTTAAAAATTATTACTATTGAAAGTAATTAAAATTCATTTGGGTGTACCGAAATTTATATAATATTTACTAACTTCCATAAAATGAATGTTGTTTTGTTATTATTTATAGAATCAACAATAAAACATTATTGAGTATATTATATTTATTTAATGGTATTTAGTTTACAGCAATTATATAAGTGAGGATAAATATCGCCTAAATAGAGACCAATATTTTAATTAAACTGGCTTATATCTGTTATGTAATGACCCTTGAAAATATATGGGGGAAAATAACTGCCACCATTTTGTGTGGCACTAGATTAAATAAAACCAGGGGATTGTTCCGCTCAGTCCATCAGTTCAAATCTCTAGTGAACCACAGCTGCCATTAACGATGAATAAATGTTAAATATCAAATAATTTTTATTATAAGGATTTATATTTTTATTTCAGATTAATACATACTCCATATTTTTTATAATGGTAATGAATAAAAGTAATTAAGTTTGTTGAAATTATTCTTTTAAATTAATATTTTTGATTGAGCATATCTAATAATGAACAGTATTTATTATTTTCACTAGAATAAGTTATCTAAAGTGTGTAATCGAATAAATGCAATCATAGGCGTAGCCAGTATTTCATAGGGGGGGGGGGAATTAAAAAATTATTGGGGGCTTCGCTCCCAGGCCCCCATTAGGGCGGGTCTTCGGCCCTCCTTTTTCCGGCCTTTGGCAAGGTTACTTTAGTCTATATTATATAATCATAAAATATTTTTACAAATTTTAATAAAAAAAATAAGCCTGGAACAAATATTAAATATATTTTTATTATTTTATATAAAATAAAAATATAATAAATTACTTGTATTGTATATACCTTTATATAAAAGCATGGTAATAATTTATTCCAAACAATTATAAGAAATTTATTTATAAAAAGCAAGTAGACATATAGTTGATTTTACTCTATTATATAGAATTAGTTATAAAATACTAGGTAAAATTCCACTTTTACAGACATATTTGACAGTTAGAGAATATTATACAGTTAATAATTTAACAAATTTTACTAATCAATGCTCTTGATATTAAATATAGCAACAATTTGCATTCAAATATTTAACGCCATCTATTTATTTTAAGTAAAAATGATTTTTAAATTTAATCTTCATATTATTCATCCCACAATGTCTTTAAAAGATATTTTCTGATGTCCTTATCAATATTTTATAGTTTTCTGTAAAATATATTATTCGTTATATGGGTAAAAATTACTTGATTGTCATTTGATAATTAGATATACTCTAAATCTACGACATATAATATTCCACTGTTTGTATTGTGCTTTAATATTTTTTTAATTTATGATTTAATTTTATCAATAGTTTTGTAATTATATTTTACTTTTATTAAGATAAATAAATTAAAATTACTCACTTTATAAAAAATTATATTTCATATATTATATTATTTAGTAATTTTATGGATCTATTATTAATAATTATAATACATTTCACTTCTGTCTTAAGACTTATCTTTGGCTTATATTCCATTTATTAAAAAACATTTTTGGTTCATTTTATATATTTATAAATTTATTTTCCCAAAAATCTATAAATTATGATGAATAGTTTTATAAAAAAATATCAACTTTTGCATTCTTTCTTTTAAATGATTATTTAAGATATATGCATACATATTTGAGGGTCAGGGAGTGAGGAGAGGACTAAGGGGGATATTTTTTAATAGCTAAAAATGATATTTACAAAAAGTGATAAATTTCTGAAGGGGGGGGGGGAATTTCTCCTTGTCCCCCACCCTGGCTACGCCTATGATGAATGCAATATTCGATTTTAAAATTGGAGCAAATAAATTGCCATTGGATTCTACAATATTAAAGCTGCCAAATTTTGAACTAACAAGGACACAAAACATTTTTAAAAAAATTTTTTTATAGATATCTTTTTCTTAATTCTAAGATTATGCTAATTAATATTTCATAAAGAATCAAAATATTTAAAATTTTGTGGGATAAGAAAGATAGAAAGCGGTCTAAATTTTTTTTCCTATTTTTTTACTTTAAAATTTTGTTGTGGAATTAACTACTACAAGTTTCTTCATGATTGATAGGCAGGTTTATGGCTTGAATTAGTAATTAAAAAATATTTTTATATAGGTGCCCTCCTATACAAATTATTTTTAGCATTATTTATTATATAAATTGTTTCTAAGAATTTTGATAAAAATTTATATCATCGTGACTTTATTGAGTGTAGGTTTTCAAAGTTTAAATCAATCATCAAGACCCACCTAAGATCCTGTATGACTAAGGATGAACAAATTTTCCCTATTCCTGATAGCACATATCAAGTTTTGCAAGGAAAAAAGCTTTAGTAAATAAAATTTAACCTATAATGTTATGTTAATAATTTTTATTTCCATTATACAATTTGGTTGAGAATATATCCAATGCCATTTAAATTCATAGTGTATTTAATTTGTAATTATATATTTATTAAAAAGACAGGTTAACGAGTTCACTAAAAATTTTAACATCATGTTTTCTGTAATTTTCGTTCAGTTTAAAAATATCGGAAAAAAAAATAATTTTTAAAAGGGTAATCCAAGATATTTTGCTTTCCGACAAATGTGTAAGCACGCCCCTGACCTCGCATACACACCACACAACATTTAGGTCCGCGGCCGGCCAAAGGAGACGTAAGGGATAGATTCTACACGAAGGTGTGATCTTGATTCTTTGAGAGCGGCAGATTCCAAAATGCAAATTTAAATTTTATTAAAAATTTATTATTCCAATTAATTTTGTTTAGATTTAATTTTTTTAAAAATATAATAACTTACATTTTTGTTTGGCATGTTTGTATTATCAATGCAATCGCATTCTAATTTAGAGCTAATTAAATTATATTAAATTTTCTATTAACTTTTAATTTTTATGTACTCTTTACCAAAGAAAACATTCCAGATAATATTCTTCTGGGAAATTGTATAGCTTTAGAAGGTTTCACAAATAGAGGCCAGAACGTATCATTAATTATCTGTTGCTTTTTGAAGAAGTTGAACCGCTTCTTCACATTCATATCTACAAATAAGCTTAAATCGATATTTCCTATTTTATTAAACTGTCTTTAAGATTTTTAATGACTATAGAGGTTAGAGGGAATTAAAACATATTCGGGTTCTACCACGACTCAAGTCAAGATAGAAAATTAAATTTTTTTCGATAAATTAAAATCAAGAAAAATTATTATATCGAATATTTATATCTTAGGTGTGTGATGTATTCATTAAATTGTGCTGCTATAATTTTTAAATTACGAATTTCATATAAGATTAGTGGCGAAGTCTCTAGACTTTCTTGGCCCTCATTATCATTCTTCAATTATCTTACTTTTAATCATAGTCATTTTCAAATATTTATTAAATTATTAAGAATACTAACTAATGATAACAAATTTTAACAAAAAACACTCTCTAGCTTGAAGTTTTTCTTGAAAATATAGCTTTTTGATAAAGTATAAAAGTTCATTATGGACATGTCTATCAAATGACCCAGGGATATTAAAGAAAATATAAATTAGTGGTTATAAATTAATCTCGAAAAAATAATTATAAATATTCAGGCAAAATTGTAGGTAAATTAATATACTTTTTTTTAAAATTTCAATTCAGAAATCAGATTTATTTTGATCTGATTCTAAATTTATAAAACAATCCATATATTCTTTTGTATCAACTGCATTTATATATATATAAATATAATAATTAATCATACATTCACAGTTGGCGCGGATTCGCGGTGAATTATACAAAATATGATATAAATATAATTTTATTCATTTTGGTATATCTCGCCTCGAATTCGCGCTAACTGTGTATGGATAATACTAAAAAAAAAGATATAAATCTATAACTATAAACACCCCCCCCCCTTATCCGAACATCCAAAATTTTATCATGTCACACCTGGACATAAGTCATTAAATAAAAATTTTAGATAAAGTTGGATATCGAAGTCACTAAAGGACCTAAAATATCCACTAGGTCCAGGGGGACAGTATGGGGGTCGACGTTTCTCATAAACTTGGAGGACGGCCATATATGTTCCAGAAAAAAAAGCTAGAGTTAGCATTCTAAATAAATCTAAAAAAAACTATTAGTTGCTAAGTGTTTTTCTCAGAGTTTAACATTTGCTCAAAATTCAAAAATCTTCAATTTACGAAAAGATATTTAATTTTTTTGATCTTCAAAGTTTTTTTAATCATTAATGGTTTTACTATTAGTTGCACAAATTTAAGGCTTTCCTCAAATTTCCGGTATAAAACATTGAATGAAATAACATAGCAATAAATTCACAATTGATATCATCA